CCTGAGCCGGTGAGATTTGAACCGCTGAACTGCTGATCTAGCAGTAGCCTGCAGTGCTGCATTTAACCACTGCGCCACCTCGGCTCTTGATGATGCACAATGATAATCAAAGGATCCTATTTGACAGCTGCATCATTCCTTCTTCCTCTAACTCCCCCTTCCTGTTCTCTCCTGAGTTATTTAAACTGAGCACCACATTCCTGTGTTTGGATTCTTCCTCCTCCACCAAGATGATCAGACAAATTGATTATAAACAATGACATAACAAAGTCACCAAAATGATTCATCGGAACATCTGTAAAAATTATGATGTACCAGTAATGAAAAATGGGTGGAAACAGATTCGAAAAAAAGTAGTTAAAAAATGACCAGGTGGAAATATTATGGGATTTCTGAATACAAACTAATAAAGTTCTTTCACTATTTCACTGTAGTTGAAAAGAAGGGAATGTGGATAATTGATGTGACAATACCAGAGGATGGTAAAAGATAAAGAATTGGAGAAGATCACAAAGTATCAAGATCTGAAAACTGAAACAGAAAGATTATGGCATAAACTAGCCTTGGTGGTCCTGGTGGTTATTGGCACAAAGTGCCATACCCAAAAAATTATGGACAGCACTTAGAAAATATGTACATTGATAAAAATTTCCATCTGTCAATTACAGAACGACCTCACATATACTATGCCAATACATTATGACATCCTAGAGAAATATGCACATAAAGGCCAATATCAGTTAAAGAACTGACAGCTGTGATTTCACATTGTTGTAAACAGATAATAATAGAATGGTACTTTGGTATTCATTGGTGCATGGTTCCGGAAGGCGCAATAAGTACTAGAAATAATGAGTACTAAACAATTTTTTCCCATCACTCCAATGAGTCTCAAGACAGCGGACACTGGCAAGTTCTAATCTGTGTGTTGAGTGCCAAACAAATGAGTACCTGGATTAAAAAAAAATTGTGTAAAAATGTGTTAAGTATGTGTTGGATGTGTTTCAAAGCAGCTGAGTACCAAGGTACCCCTGTATTGAATTTTTCAGACTTGAACAGTCTAATTTTGTAAAAAAAAGAAACCCAAAACCATGCTGCTTGGAACAGCTTATATATTTTAATGCTACCTTAATAATTATTATGTTCTTATTTAGGACTTGAGCTAATAAGTTTCCACCCATCCTAGATGAATCTACAAAGAATCTAATTGTAGATTACCCCTATATAATAATAATAATTTGCGTTGACAGTTCACACTTGTTCAAGCTCTAGGAGAGTTAAGAAAAACTGTAAAGCAAAAAGATAAAAATATGAACAAAATGTTAACCGATTTCTTGATACTTTCACTTTTCAGCTGAACCTAAAACAAGACACAGAAGCAATTTAAAGAACAAAAGTTACCGTATTGGAATTGAAAGGTAGACATATCAGAAGGAAGGATACTTAGCAAGAATATCTAGGTTTGCAAAGTTGAAGCACAAAACATAAACTAGGCTTACTTTGATTTCTTTTTCTGTTTTCTTATCTGCTTGATTCATTTCCTTTTACTCACTACTTCTTTCTGTTTTTCTATAGTTTGAATAACACTACTTGCCTCAAAACTGAATAATGTAATATGTATATGTAGCAATTCACTGCTTACCTACCAATATTTCTCAATCAACAGATTTGTATCGTCATTGTCTTATGCCTGATAAGATTTTGAGAAGATATACATTCTAGGGAACACTAAAACTCATTGCAAAGATGCTAACATTCCTCTAGAAATGTTATTCACATATATACATTTTGTGTTATCAGAGAACTTACGTTCCATGAAATAGGGACCAGGTTCAATCCGCCATATGATCTGTCCTTTCTGTGTTCCAGTCACACCACGGTTTTTAGAATCCCAGAAATTTGCTGGTGAGTTCTCATCTGAAAGGGGGAAAATGTATTAAAATATGACCTCTATATTTTAGTGCTTGAAAATTAATTCATGTTACAACAACTGAAAGCCTGAAACTTCGTTTATTTCAGCCACAGATTGCAGTGGATGACTGAACATCTCCCATGGAAACTTACCTAAAGAGTTAAAAAAGTAAAATCAGTATCAAGATAAATGAATAAATAAATAAATATAATTGTCTGCATTTCAAAGATGACCACTACCTACCTACCTACCTCTNTGAGTCAACCCTGAGCCGGTGAGATTTGAACTGCCGAACTGCAGCTAACAGTCAGCTGAAGTAGCCTGCAGTGCTGCACTCTAACCACTGCGCCAGCTCGGCTCTTATAATTATGACATTCAATAGTCTCTATAGGACCGTGATGGTGAATCTATGGCGCACATGCCACAGGTGGCACGCAGAGCCATAAATGCTGGCACTTAGGCCGTCAGCTCCACATGTGTGTGCCAACCAGCTGGTTTTTGGCCTTCCACAGGGCTGGGGGAGGCCATTTTCATCCTCCCAGGCTTCAGGAAAGCCTCTGGAGCCTGGGGATGGCGAAAAACAGGCCCCAATGGGCCTACCGGAAGTTCGTTTCTGAACTTTTGTTAGGCCCATTGGGCCCATTTTTCGGCCTCCCCAGGCTCTGGAGGCTTTTCTGGAGCCTGGAGAGGGTGAAAATGGCCTCCCCCAGGTCCCCGGAGGCCCTCCAGAAGACGGAAACAGAGATCATTTCCAAACCTCTGGTAGGAGGTGAGGCAAGCAGTGTGGCACACATGGGGAGGAACATGGGGGGGTTGTGCACATGTGGGGGCAGACTTTGCATTGTAGGTTCTGGCATGCACACGTGCTATCACACATGCACGCTTGCATTTTTGGCACCCAGCAACAAAAATGTTAGCCATCACTTGCTATAGGGCAACAGAGATGATAAACCATGTCCAGATTTTGGGAAACCGTTTAGTAAACCCAAACAATCTTTTCTGACACAACAAAATGATAAAATTCAAGATACCTTAAAATCAAAAAGTTTTAAGAATAAATGAAATGTAACCTTTAGGGGCAAAATATAATTCATCACCTCGTGTTGATATCCTCATTAAATCAGATAATTCATTGGAAAATACTATTTGTCAAACTAAATGAACAGATTTAATGTTAAAGTTAAATAAATTCATCCACTGTAAGCAATGTATATACTTACCATCACAGCAGGGTTTTTCACAGTGATACATGGAGTTGTTGCACGCTGGGCTCCGCTTATACCATGGTAGTATTTAAAGCAGATTTTTATTTCAGCTAAAAGGGGGGAAAAAACGAAGGGAAAGAAGTATAAGAATTCATGCACAATTCATAATGAGTGAAGAGAGTCAATGGAACAGCTGCCTTGACACAACAGAAGCCACAATTCATTGAGACCATATTACTTAAATTGTAGCAATTTGATTAAATAATGACATCATTAATCTAATAATTGTTTCTGCAAAAGAGATGCCCTTAAAACCTTTGGCAGCAACATATGTATTATTAAGCTGTTGAAACTCTACAGATGCCAAAATTAAAATTAAGCAGCCCAATTAAGGAAAGGATTTCAGCTTTTTCCTCTTTTGCTTTCCACATCTATTTTCCCCCCAAGTTTGTTTTTTTTAAGCAACTGCAATAACCTATCATTTTTCCTGGACCCCACAATCCATAACAGCATCTGTTTCACTGTAATACATCATCTCTTTTTGAGCCAGTTAAGTCAGAAGTCGATCAGTCACAAGTTGGAAGGCCATACCTAACAAATAAAAATGACAGCCCAGCCATTTTTAAATGTGATACTTGCCACTCAAAATGACAAAGGAAAGTTGGTAGGTTGATAATAAGAATCCTGAGGGGCTACAGGAATATTTCCACTCATTCACTTCTTGCTGAATCAGAGGGAGTGATGCAGTGGCCTAGAGGTGGCATTCAGAAGGCTGTGGGTTCGATCCAGTGGTGAAATTCAAATTGTTTTACCAGTTCTGTGGGCATGTCTTGATGGGCATGGCGTGGCATGGTGTGGCTTGGTGGGTGTGGCAGGAGAAGGATATTGCAAAATCTCCATTCCCACCGCACTCTGGGGCCAGCCAGAGGTGGCGTTTGCCAGTTCTACGAACTATTCAAAATTTCCACTACCAGTTCTCCAGAACCTGTCAGAACCTGCTGGATTTCACCTTTGGTTCGATCCTAGATAGTGGCAGATATTTCTCTCTCTCTGGGCACAATGTGTAAATATCTACTGCGACCTCTGCATTGGTGACAGGAAGGGCATCCGGCCAGTATACACTCAGGTCCATTCGGTTGCCCCAACTCCACTCTGATGCAAGGGATTACAGTATTAAAATACTTCCTGCTGAATTGGAAGATTGTAATAGACATCTTTTATGGGAGGAACCTATTCTGACCCCCTCTTCCGTCCAGTAACGAATGCCGAGACAAGCTTTGCTGGAATGCCACAATACTTTATTAGCAGGAAACATAAATCTTGGTGGCTGAAAGCCCAAGCACAACAACAGATAAAGAACCTTGGCAGCAACCCAGACTCTGACAGATACAGATAACAGCTTCTCCAGTGTTGATAATTAAGTTGAATCCTGCAACCAGACNGGAGTCCTTCGGGAGTGGGCGGCATACAAGACAAATAAACTAAACTAAACTAAACTAAACTAAACTAGTAACAGAATGCATGCTTGGTCATTGGAAGGTCACTATTATATGTACCTTTCAAGAAGGGAGCTCCCTGCTAATCCATAATCATTTCTAAATCATAATATAAATGTGTTGATGAAAAGATTAAATTGTTCCAATCTTTGAATAGTTGGAGAAAAAATTCTTTTCTACTGTTTTTCCCTAAGGAAGACTTAGGGAAGAGATTGTTTACAGAATATGCTTGGAAACCATATCTATCTGTCCCAGATCTCTATTATATCTGTCATAGTATGAGCTGCACTAAAGGAGATTTCAATACATGGGTTTTATCAGAGCAGGAATAATGTTACCATCATCTGCCAAAATGCTTGATAGTGGATTGAGTTCCAGAAAGTGGATGAGGTGAGCCTTTTAAGTTTTTCTATTATTGTCACAGATTGACATTCAAGAAGTCAGAGAATAGAGAAAGTAACACAGCAGAGACTCCTTGTGGTTCCTTCATTGTTGAGTATAAATATGAAGGCTTTTTAATATTTACTTTAAAACCAAACGTTGCACTTGAGTTCTGAAGGTGTTAGATTGATATTTACTGAATTTTAACATTTGTACCTATTGCAGGCACATAAAGTGTTTTTTTAGATAACTGAGAGTTATGATACTCTGCAGTATTGGATAGTATTGAAATATTTAAATGTCCCATTGGCTGAAATTTTCTGCCCTTGTGATTCCAGAGTGGTAGAAATCACAGAACATGTGGTTCTTCTCTCCCAGTCCCCCTGCACCAACCTTTTGCTATTTACACCCTGCTGCCATGGCCAAAGCAGAAGCACATCACAGCTTTTGTTGTCTCCTTTTTGGATCCAGTTTCTCCGGCAAAAAAATTCCTACGTTTTTCATTCTTTCTGAAGACAGTGCAGCTTTCTGAAGGCTGTGCTATCTATGCAGAGATGCACTGTCTTTAGAACCTCTTCTTCCAAAAGACAGCACAGCTTTGCAAAGATAGCACTGTCTTCAGAAAGAAGGAATAAAATTAGGAAAGTATGAAACATTTGCTGGAGAAGCTGGGTCCAAAAAGCAGGCAGCAAAATATGAAAGGTCTGTGCGGGGAACTGGGAGAGAAGGCAGATGGGCAAATGAATGTTTGCTGGGCTGGTTGCTGGGCTGGGCTGGGGAGCAAATGAATGCTTGCTAACTGGTGCTGGGGAGTCATGTGGAGTTGGGGAGAGAAGGCAGATGGGTAAACGGATGCTTGTTTGCACTTGCTGGAGCAGGCTGGGGTAGCTGAAGCTTCTGGGTGTGTTGCAAGGAACCACAGATTTTATTAACATAGCAGGTTCAATTTGATTTATTTGTTTGTTCAATTTCTGGGGCCATCCATCTCAGTCAATAACTCTGGGTGGCTTACAATTGATGGAAAAGATATTCTCTAAAAGCATTCACATTTCAAATGACGACTAAAAATGAAAAAAAGAAAGAAATCTATAACAAATCTGTAATAATAACAAATAGGATGCAAAAAGGAAAAATCTCCTTTGAAACTGAAAGTTGTTGCCTACTGGGTTAATCTCTTCTCTGCTGTCTTCCCTGTAAAGATTATCTTGCTAAAGGAAATATTTGTCTTTTAAACTGAATTGACTATATTTGTTTTCTTTTATTGGTATGCATTTGTGGGAAGTTATCATCCAGCCCTCTCCCAGAAAAATGAAATATCCTAGGAAATANACCTGGAGAAGGCCCACCCTGTGTGATCTTATCGGCTGTTGGGAGGTATGCGGCAGAAGACGGTCTCGCAACTAATATATTGCTCAAGGATGAAAAATCTTGCTGCAGATTAAAGCAGGAATGGAAAGCCATTTTGACCACCCAAAATTACAAGAGAGAGATTTTAGCACTTGAATCCATAACCCCAAAGCAGTCTGGGGAGGGCAGAGAGGGTGAGAGATCCTTAGCTCTGCCCATAGCAGGCACTGGAAAGATGCATCAGGCTTTTCAAAGGCATTTCCCTTGCTCTCCTTCCTGGCTGTTACTACTACGTGCATCTATAATTGTTACTTGAGCTAAAACATCTGGCTATATAATTGGGCTACATAATTCTCATTTTTTTTCAGAAATCGTTCTTTTATATTTCTCCTCATCCAGCGTCTTTTTCACTTCATCATTCGACCAAGGGTCTCTCTCTTCATAATCCTTATAAGCATCTCACTCACAGCCTTCTGTGGCAATTCCTTCCAAGCATCTTCTCCTCCTGCTCTCTATTTACTCTGTTCACCTTCTAATACTTGTTCATACAGGACTTGGGTTTTCTTCCTGCAGTCATTCTATTTTCAATCCAGTTTCTTTTATTTCTTTCCTTTTTTCCCATCTATCTTTAATGTTCTAGTCTCCTGGCTCAAACAATCTGGATCCAATCTATTATTTTCATCGGATATTCTTCTCAAATTTCACTCAAATTTCCACTTAAAATTGAACCATCAAATGTATTTGATTTTTATTCACTCCACAGAACTCCCTATTAAAAAAATTCATAATGCTCTGATTTAAAGGGACAAAAACATAAGCAAAACTTACCTGAGAGTGTAAAACTAATTAATTTTCGGGAGTGCTGACCTGTTGAAGCACCGTCTGTGCCTTCTGCCCCCATCTAAAAGACAAAGAATATTTTATTTTGTATTTTGCAGTTCAAAATATAAGAAAAACCTGAAAAAAAACCACCCTTCTAAATATAAAACAAAGTGATTCATCTATTAAATTCTTAAAATACTTTCTATATAGGAATCAAGTTAATTAAGTGCACAATAAATAGGTGAACAAAATGTCCTTTGCTATAACAGAATTACTAATGAGAAAAGGTGGCTTTTGTCGAATATCAATGTATGTCTTTTTTTTTTGTTTTGAAATACCATTTTGGTTTCTGTAGCACACATATTGATTTATTGTTATAAATTACAAGTTAAAGTTTTAGTTATTGTTCTGGTCCAACAGGGGATGAACAGTTGGAGAGAGAAACATCAGTCACTCACAGCAAACTCAGTTGAGCATAGAATCAAAATAGGATTATGAAAAATATGAGGGAACCAGTGGTGGGTTTCAAAAAAATTTCGAACCTTCTCTGTGGGTGTGGCCTCCTTTGTGGGAGTGGCTTGCCGGCCATGTGATCTGGTGGGAGTGGCTTGCCAGCCATGTGTTTTCTTTCTCTCTCTCTCTTTCTCTCTCTTTCCTTCCTTTTGTCTCTCTCTCCCTTTTTCCTTTTTTTCTTTCATCTCTCTCTCACTTTTTCTTTCTTTTTTCTTTTTTCTTTATTTCTTTCTCTTTCTCTCTCTGTGTGAGTGTGTCTGTCTGT